AACAGCTGCAACCAGTCTTCCACATCTTGGTCCTCGGCGCCGCTGAAGAAGGGGGGATCTCGTTGGCGCAGGGTGGTAGGTACGATGACCAGTTGAGATTGGGCCGTGCTCTGCAGGGGGGTGCCTTGCTCGGTCGTCTGATCAGGCATTGCTGATGCAGTGGGTAGCTTCCGGCTTCGAAGTTCCAGGTTTGCGTACCCAGCACCTCCACCACTTTGCTAGGGAGTTTAATAGCGACGCCAGGTAGTAGGCAGGCAGCCGGTAGGAACAGAAATGCTCGAGCCGTCCAGCGTCTACAGCTCGTGCACACACTCGCGCTTCGCTCTCCGAGAGAGATGGTCCCACTAGTCAGTGCCTTGCGAATTCCCCACTACACAATGAATACCCTGATGGCCTTGAACAGCTGAGTATACATGGTAGTGATGCTCCTTTAAACGCTTATTCTGGCACCTACCCGTTTGTCTGACAATCATTTTGCTGCATGACAACGGGATCAAGTAAACGGCAGCAATTACACATGCTATGAATAGCCTCCTATGTTTGATTGTGCAGCAGCTCCTTCATGCAGACTACGCATTTACACGCTTACAGAGCACTGAAAGCTTTTCCGGGGCAGAGAAAACGACCTTCACATCAACCTTATCACCTATCTTTCTCAAATTGTGAGAAACCTTATGTAGATGGGGAATCACAGCCAGGCGCTTAGAGAGGCCCTTACTGGCCACGTTCTTGCACTGGTGCCTCACATTCCTATTTAATGGTCCTAAGCAACTTTTCTGCCACTGAAACCAGCACAAAATCAGGGAAACCACTGCTTATCAGATGGGAAACCTGCTCAAAAAAGCTGCTGTTTAGCGAGTGGCCGCAAGACTTGCGGAGAGCGTTTCTGAAGCAATGCGTAGTAATTCCTCTATTCACAAGCTTCAAATGAGCCGGCAAGTATGCTAAAAGTGGTTTGCTTCATCTAGGCTCGTATTTCCAGCATAGTTGTACACTTAAGATGTTTAATCTCAAGTCTAAAAACTTTAACAAAGCATCTTGCCGCAGTTCATGCGTGAGAATTAGAGGTGCCATACAATCATTGAAAAAAACGTAAGGTGTTAGAAACGGAAGCTTTGAAGCCCTTATCATCGCAGTCAAAAAGCACGAGAAAATCGTCAACAAAACTTAAAACTTTAACGACATCATTTTCTCGAGGTGGCTACTCAAGAGTCGGCCATGGTAAGTGAGAAAAATGTCTCTTAAAACTGGCACTATGCATGAACTGACGCACACTTCTTTTTTTTTTTTCAATATAAGTGCCTTCATTCCTTGATACAAAAGTTGTCTTTAAGTAAAAGCCAATGAGCTCAAGAAAGTCACTGACTGTTATGGTCACCGCATTCTGGAACGCAACTGGACCAAAGTTGGCAATGCAGTCCTCAACGCACTGTAAGCAGCATGTCATGTGGTAAAGCCTCTAGAACAGCATGCATCTATACCAAGTCGAAGGCATTTTCATAATGAATGCCAGATAAAGATTTTTATGTATTTCACAGATTTGACCTTGATATGATCAATCACATAAGTGAAAGTATAATAAACAATTCGAAACTTTATCGTGGATTCCCATTTGTTTCTGCTACCAATCATGGGGTCTTCTAAGAGAGGTTGGTATGCGCAAGTTCTTGCAAAGAAACTACAAGTGGATACATTTTTCACTTTGTTTCTATGCTCCCACCAGTGTTTATTCATCTCCTTTCTCACCTATGAAGAACTCATTGTGCAGTAACAAAATTCACTAGACATGCACAACAGCACTCTCGTCCTCATCGCTGGGTAGTTTTCAGCGACTCGCAATCCTCATTAGTTTGTGTAAAAGGAATCGGCTTAGGCAACAAAGCTAGCGTGTAAGATTTAAACCTTAGCATAATGTTCCAGTGGGTACCAAGCTACTGTGAAATCATAGAAAACGACACAGCTGATCGCATGGCATATACAGCACATCAGGAAAATAATATATCACTGCTACCTCTACCAATGAGTGATGCGCAATGGCTAAAAAATAAGGTGAGCTGTCGATTGTCCATGGAAACTTGGTTTGAAAATGGTGTACCGAGCTGTCAGCTATGTAGCATTGATCTCGACGTAGAATTTAATATCTCATTTAAGGTTTCTTAGTCGACCTGTAGAAACAGTCACTCATAGGCGTCTCCTTGGCAGAGCCTACACGGAAAGCCCTCCCGCATATAGAATAATAAAATCTATTTGCTCGTGCGGCAATGCTGAATTAAGGCGTTGAGCACATTCTTTCACACTGTAAAAATTGTGATGGACCTCGAAAGGAACTTTTACAAAAACTAAATCCTTTGGATAAGCGGCCCCCATCAGTAGCAAAAATCTTGGGCTCATTGCCAAAGGGATACCTACAAAGCACTGCTGTGCATACTTTCTGGAAGAATTTCAGGATCTATCGGAAATAGCACAGAAGTACTAATTAAGCAAGAAAATGTTCTTGCGTTCTTGTTAACCTGTATGTTTCGCTACAATATTCTTGTGCTCTCATTTTTACAGAGAAATGTTTGTGAAAATCTATTCTCAAACTGTGTAGGTACTTTCTTTCAAATCCTGTGTTTTATGGACAGTTTTTTTTATTGAGGAAATTGGACTCAGTGCAGGAGTGTTGTACTATATATGCCTTTGTATACCCTTGTGTTTGTTTTTTTTAATTTGGGGGATCCTTAAGCTTTAAGAGTTAAATGCGATAGCGATATCCTGACCATAGTGCGTATTCAAACACTTAGTGAATGAAATCTTTTCAAACTTGCTATGCACCCACTACGTGACCTTAAGTGAATAGCCACATAAACGTGTGTGCCTTTTGTAGGGGGTGACCGCCTTTAAACCCTTAAGTCAATATGATAATCCCGTGTTCTGACGCCAAATGGAAATGTACGCTTGTACGATGCATTATTAATGCAATATTTTATGTTGTATTTATTTTTTAACAATTTAAACATATTGTGGACCAGCGTTTTGGTTCAAGTGGGAGAGGCAAGAGAAACTATCAAGTGATTTGTAACAGCAAAAAATAAAAAAGGGATGAATTCGTTGCAAAAAACATGTATCTATATGCTAACAGAGGTCACATGTCTGTGAAGCAGCAACAAGGGTTTATAATTGCGAAGCATGTATACAGGGTGCGTGTGTTTGTAAAGCAGGAAAGTAATAAGCATGTAAAACAGGAAGCGTGTGTTTGTAACGCCATTACAAATCACAGAAAAGTATGCACGCAAAGCTTTCAGAAAGCTTCTTTTACGTGCGAATTTCAAAATGCGCCCCCTGAACAAGCCTATGAAACCCCATACTGTAGCGCCATCTCTACTCGTGGCTGAATGTTATTGGCAAACACAATTTGCCTGCACCCTCCCTTTAAGCAGAGCGGCGAGTGTCAGCACCTAAGAAATGATGGAGGTGTTCGAGAACAGATGAACCTTGTGGTTATGCCGTATGTACCTGGCATTTCACTCAGATTCAAAAAGGTTGTAACCCGGTTCGATGTCAAACTGGTCTGTTCTGCACCCAGCAAACTCGCTGGTCTTTGCAAGAGAGTTGTGCAGGCTTGGCACGATAAGCAGGATGTGTGACATAAAACATGCGAAGAAATTCTGCAGCGTGTAACACATGTGTGGTGTATGGCATCCATTTAATTTGTGACAAGTTTCACGTTAGAAAATCCGGTCAATGTGTCAACGTTTGGTTGAGGGAGCGTGAAAATCTTCTACCCTCGGGCACTGGTGGTAACTTGCAGTTGCATTGGAAGTTGTGTGGTTGTACGCCCTTGTTTGATAAGGTGAAAATTTTATGTAAGGCTAAGACGCAGCGTGAATAGAAGATTATTGAGGCATTCCATATGTGGAAACTTGGTGTAGACAAATGTATTAGTGCAGCTTCGGTTTATGTCAACAGGAAAGAATGTTTGTTTCTAGCACTGAGGTGATTTGCTTAGATTAGCTTGCTTTGATTTCGTTGTTGTTGTTATCTCTGCATGCGTTGTACAAACTTGGGAGGAAAGTTTTTTTTGAAATAAACATCAGTTGTTAGTGCCACGTCTCTGCTCTGTCTCTGTTTATGCTGCTCTGCTTTTTCAGATTTCGACATTTTGAGGCTTCTGTTGTAGTTAACTAAGTATGTACCAACTTGCCCAACAAGACTCTCCTGAATTAGACTTCCTGTTTTGTAGATATTTTTACGCAGCACCTCCAGGGTTAGGCTGACAACCGGATTGCACTAAATGTGCTGAGATGGTATGTCAGTGAGCTTAGCAATGTGCACTGCCACAAGGATATCCAAATTCCCAAAAGCTCAAAACAGATGACAGATTTTTGTCAAGCACTTCCTGAAGGGTTTCTAAATGACCTTGAGGTTTAAATTTAGTAGTGGTGTTGCAGTTGTGCTCAAGTTTACAATGAGCACATGGCCATGATAATTTCTCAGAATGCTATAATGCCAGAGCTATAAATGATGTGGGAATGAAATCTGTCTGTTACTCGTCTCGCTCGTTCTTTTGCTACGCTTCATTCCTTAGCTCGTCTCTCTTCCACCAAAACAAAGGGTGACTGAAAGAACAGGAGGAAAGAGTTGGCAAGTTCTTCATGAACGGGTAGGACATCTACAGCAATTGTTTGTCCTAGAATTTCCATTAGAGCATTTGTTGGGGCACTAGTTGGTTCATTATGTTTAACTGCTGAGCGCTAATTCGGTAAGGGAGAGCACTTGCCTCGTGCAGTGTGTGCTCTTCTACATCTTTGCAGTTTAGGTAGTATTTATATTTGCTAAATATTACTTCAGGCTACAGCAATAAATGACACTTCATCATTGGGTAGTGCACAAATTGAAAGCACGAAAGAAGGGAACAGGAAATGTGTGCGCTATCTAACAACAAATAAGTTACTACGGGCCCGCCTTTCAGTTCTACTGTAAATGACACCACAGCACACTCATGTGTTCTACTTCTGCAGGGCTTTTTCGAGCTGCCCTGTTCCAGTGCACCTATCTGACCTGGTCGGTTGGTGATGGAGGCGGATGGCCGAAGCCGCATTCCGAGCCTTCTGAGGCGCAGTGCCTCCATGCGAGTGCGAGGGGAGCGACATCCCAACGGGTGCTGCCCGTCCGCCGATGGTGACTCGGTGGGAAGCACAGCTAGCCTAGTGTCCTGTGGTTCGGCCTCTGCACAACCAGCTTCCTCGCAGCAGCCAGGTGAGTTTTTACCGCAGGTTCACTGCATGATCCTTCGTCATGTGTATCACAAGGCTGGTAGCCCTTCAAACATATTATGTTATATGTAACACTCGCCATAAATAAAATCAGTTGTCTTGTAGCATTGCTATACTCTGTATCATACATCAGGTGCATAGCTGTGCAACACTATGCAAGAAGTTTCATCCGCAAAATGTGCAAGTCCGTGCATCTCTTGCTTGGCTTCCCCAATTAGTTTTGGCTTTTTGCTTCAGAGCTAATTGTGGAGGCCACAGTGCGAAAATGAATAGGTGTTAAGCAGTCCAAAACAGCTTATTGATAATTTGGTAAATTATGTGGTTTGCTTATTTTTAAGGTACAAAGCACCCTCATTTGTTGTTCAGCCTAAAGTTGAAAAAGAATGAAAATAATATAATGGGTGGTAAATACATGGAACGATTTCTTGATCTGAACACATTGGCTGCAAGAAGTTTATAGTTTCAACAGCACTGCACCTGATGTATGAAATAGAGTGTAGTATGGTAGATTAAAAGAAACTTTTGATCATAAAGTTTCATACAATAATACCTGGAGGGGAACCTGGCGCTAGTGTCTACGCGGGCTGCTTTAGTAGCGCTTGTACCCCCATGGGAATTAGGGGAAGTACAGGCTTCAGATCCGCTTCAGATGGATTACGTTCTTGAGATTCGCTATGCTTCTTTTTCGAGTGTAAGACAAAGTGATATAAACTTATATTTAATCGAAACTTGCTTAATTTATCTGTATGCAAACTTTATTGCAAACAGCTTTCGTGAGGAGGCATCTAAAGTGAAACGTGGGCAAATATAACCATCAGGGTATGCATTGCTCTGCCATTGCGTTCCAGATTTGGCGTCAAGATTTAATAAATTATTTTTTACAGCACTTGAAAAGCATGCTTGTTTTTCCCTGGAAAGTGCTCATAATCTATTTATAAAAATAACTGTATAGTATCAAGTGAGAAACACTTGACGTATCGTCTTCTGCAACGCTAGGTGCGTCTGTTCAAGTGGTCTGGCCCCAACACACCTCTGGTTTTGTTGTAAAGTCAAGTCAGCGAAGCGCGACAGTGCGTCTACTTAGCTTCGTCATTGTTTTTCAGTCGATTTAAACGAGTTTAGGCGAGACGCCTTCTTGAAAAAACATTAACTTGATGCAATATCCCTGCACAGGCATGAGATGCTACATCTATGGACAGTGGTGAGTGAACGACACTTCATTTATGCTGTCATATATGACTCGTAAAGCTCAAACATCTCAGCAAATCAAGTGGCCTAGTGTTCTTCAGTCTCCTCGAACAACAAAGGCACTGCTTCAGCCATTTTCAAAACACCCCACTACCTGCGCTGCGCGAAGAACGAAACTGAAGGTGTAGAAAAAGGTCTGTAGACAGTTTGATAACTAACCCTATCCAATCCGAAGCCTCTACTTCTAATAATTCCCACGGAGGTACAGGATCGCAGCACTAGATTCCTCTCTAGGTATTATTTTATGAAATTTTATGCTTTCGATCATCGGCTTTACATTTCCAGAGGGGAATGTGCTATGTACTAATCTTTTTGATCTTTCAAAGCAATTTGTCAATAGCTTCCGTAGGTGCTTGTATCGAGGTTCTTGAGGAGACCCCTTAAATGTATGTGCAGCTCCAGTGGAGACAGCAGTGTCATGTCACCGGCGAGGCAGCTGCCGTTCCGTGCTGCACTGCCAGCGTCCTGTGGACACCGACACTTACCTGACACCCACACAGCGCAAGGACCGTGAACTTCGACAGTTACGGGCGGCCTTGGCACGAGCCACTACAGAGGCTCGCTTGCGTGACGAACGTTTGCGTGAACTTACGGCCCAGCTGCAGTCACTGCAAACTTCACAGGTGAGTGTTCCACTGTTCTTATATTTTTCTGGGACTCCACGCGTTCTTGAAGTGTGGCAGCAAATGCAATGTAAGAGAAATTATCGAAAAAAGCTGTGCGTTTTAAATGTAGAGGCAATGTCGTACAAGTACCACGAAAACCACGAGAGAGTTAGTGGCCTCAAACTCGTGTTACTTAGCAGACTGTCCTGCAAGAACCGGAACCGTGAAGAAAAATGGGGCAGGGCAAAAGGATTGAACGAAATCTTAGCTAACAGTGCCTTTGGAATCGAAGCCTTTCTCTTATCTTATATGTTAGTAATACTTGTTGGGATTTGGGAAACGTGTTGATATTAGATCTCAATAATGAATAAACTCAAGATGCCAATTCTGAATACAGTCAAACCTGACATAACGAATTCACAAGTGCCATGATAAGAAATCGTTATACCGATAGTTCGTTGGATATAAACTCCCCCTTGAAAACATGCACTTATTGACCAAACTGTTTCTTTAGTTTTTTGTTTATTCGGTGTATTTTTATAAAAAGTGCTAACAAACCCTCCGATGACAAGTCAAGCCTTTTTGTGTGTCAAGCGACACCCGCTGTGTGTTTTGCAATGAAGAGACGCTGTTTAAATGTAGTGCCGTAACGTGGCATGGGACTGATCATCCCTGGCGAGTTGCGCGCAGCACATTGCCTTCTCGGCTGTCACCGTCACTTGCCGGGCCATTTGCAGACTAATGTATGCACATGTTTGTGCATTCTTGCATGCATTACTCCAGATCACGCATGGGTACGGCGAAGAGCCTGTTCTTTCAGCACGATGACGACAAGCATTTTGCTTGCAAACCGCAAGCAACCTTGTAAAACACGGCAGCGGGAAACTTGCGAATGGCAGCATGACCGCTTGTACAGCCGTCATTTCACAATCTTTATGCTACATGCGCAGCCATGCAAATATTTAGATGTGATTGTGATAAGGTTTTTGGCGATGAGTCATTATGACACGTTCATCGCTAGTCTTCACATCGCCACAACCATGCAGAAGTTGTTAATGTGATAGCGTTAAAAAGCTCGTTTTACAGAAATTGCGACGTCAGTGTCAGCATCAGCATCATTCTTTGTGAGCGAAAAATCGTCATCTTATGCGTGACTGTAAAATCTAGAAAAATGCAAATAAAATAAATAATAAAAATGCTGAGGCAGAGTGGGGATCGAACCTCGGTCATTTGCGTGGCAAGCGGATGTTCTGTCACTCAGCTACTCATATGCTTGCGAATAGAGTGAAAATAACTTGCTCTACTTGGAAATGCTGCAAAAGTAACTTTCATGCTTTACATACAAATGCGTCCTGCATACATGCCTCACAATACAACAATAAATATTGCAGTAATAATGCGTGCTACAAGCATACATTACTATCGGGCGTCAGAACATGTGATTATCCTAATGACTTGATGGTTTAAAGCGGACGACCCACTACAAAAAGCACCCATGTTATTGTGCCTATTCCCATAACTCCACGTAATGGGTGCATAGAAAGTTCGAAAAGATCTCGTGCACTAAGTGTTTGAAGTACGCACTACGTACACGATATCGCTATCACGTTCAACTTTTAAAGGCGAAGCTTGAGAGTCCCGCAATTTTTTTTTTATCATTGATCGACCAGTCTCTGCCATTACCCAAAAGCAGAGGATCTTTTGTGGAATATTGCGGCATCGGCAAGTTGAGGGTCGCAATCAACTTTTATGTGACGCAAAGTTATCGCTCCTTGCATTTATGCATTTTTAACTTTGAAAATGTTGTTTGGCTCGTCATCGGTAGTTCTATATGTACAGAACAGCATCACAAAAAATTTCCGTGCTTAAGCTGACCGTAAGCATATATGCTTCTTTCTTGTATTTTTTTTTGTAACTGTCATTCTGCCACTGAAGAAACACCTGGAAATTGAGTAACGTCAGTCACAGGGTCCAAAATCTGCATGTCGTGCTTGCCACGGTTTATGCGATATTTTCGTCACAAGTAAACTGGAGTGGGGCATGGACACGCTCGAGCGTGTGTCTCTTTCGTGCCTATTTGGACATTATTTTTTTTTCTGCTTTGTATACACTATATTTTTACTGTGATTGTGTCTGAAGTCTGCATGGTAAAAGCAGAAGATTTTAAAAAATGTTTGCTCTATGTGGGTGCACTTTCGATGGGTAGTGCAGGAAAATCATATGGGCACTACAATATGGTCGTTATAGCTAATAGATTGTTATATATGGCATTGTTATTAGTAGGTTTCACGGTATCGAGTTTTGTGCCATGTTTATGGTTCCACACATTGTGACCTCATGGGGTGCCTCACGAAAAAAACAAATAAATGCTTGTTATTGGTCACATCTCTGTAGCTCATGATCCTATTTACTATGGAAATGGAAAAAAAGAAATAAAATAAATGCATATAGCAGCTTCAGTACTTTGAAACGCGAGGAAGTGTATCATAGCACAGGCACCCAGCAATTCCCATTTGTGGAGGCCCCACTGCTTCATTTATGCCGCAAGAGATGTTTGAATGAATGACAAGCCAGTCCCATATAGCGCTCCACTCCTAAAATGAGATGAAAATAGTCTTGTGTCCGCTGGTTCACTGAGGAAAGAAGGACAACCCTAAGATTGCCCTGCAGCAGACAATCTTCTAGGTAACACTAAGGGATGCTCTAGCAAATGATTTGCTGCAGGACTCGTCAGTTGGAGGCTCAGCCGCGGAAGAGCGTGCAGCAGGTGTCTCACTGGGTGACAGTGGTGTGAGCAGTGATGTGCTGCCCTCGCACCCCGAGAGTGTTCTAGAGGAAGAGGATGCCAATGGAGCACAGGCAGAGGCAGCTTCTGGTGAGTTGAAAAACACTTTACGGGCAATATTGAATTGGGCTGGCGAAAGGAGGTAATGGTTGGGTTGTGAGTGGGTGACCGTTTTGAGCCCTCTTGTTATTGCTTCCTTGTATTTCCTTCAAGTTGAGCGGTTATTGTACTTTGCATGGAGAGTTGGCTGGATGTTTCCGACTGCCAGCTTAGTCTCTTCACAGAACTGTCATCTTCTTTATATAATGGTGATCAAGAGATGCCATGACTTTTTTATGTTTAGTTTATACCCCCAGGACTAAGAGGTAGATAGCAAAAACCAAGCTCTCACTAAGGATTTTGGGCTGTGGTGCCTTCCATGTAGACTTTTTGTTCGAATGCCATGCTGCTGTATGAATGAGAACTATCAAATAGACACTGATATCTGTTCTCATTAATATTGGTATAACAATGAAATTTCAACTTCTGTTGTTCGAACTGCTGTATGGGCTATCTCGCTGGTACTACCACTTTCATTGTCTTAGATAGCTGCCATGGTTTTTTTTTTTACAAATATGAGGTGTGTAAGGTGAGAGCGCTGGTAATGAGAGCTAACAGATAAAGAAAACCTTAACTGACAATGAAAAAACGAGCCCTTAAAATTTCACTTTAATTTATGATAGTGCTTTGTAGCTTAATAGAATGAAAAATGCAATCACTACTAAATAGTTACCAAAGGTGTAAAAGGTCATCCTTCATTTAATCAGGATGCACCATCAAAATGTTCTTGTTGTTTTGCAGTGAAGAGTGCTTATCACATGCTTTGTGCTATACTATCAAGATTTATTGCATGTGATAGCGTTATGTAATACTAGGTTGTACAATGTAACTCTTGTAGATTTTGAACTCGTGAAAATAGTTACTTATACATTATAATGATAATATGTAGGGTTGCGTGAGTGCCGTATTTACTCGATTCTACCGCGCCCTCGATTGTAACGCGCACCCGATTTCCACGACGAAAAAAAACAACGTAAGACATTGATTGCAACGCGCACGCATTTTTCTTGCCGGCCCGCACGATCACACCACTAGAAAAAACGACTCCTTTCGGGAGCGTCTTACATTTAAATATGAGGTATGGGGGAAGCTTGTGCCCATCTGACATGTAACAGAGCATTGCCGTCGCTGTAGTTTTACCGTGGACCGATGTCAGCACACGAACTTGCTTTGCCCCCTTCTTCTCGGCGGTTGTGGTGCCAGACATGTCGAAGTAAAGAGGCGTCTGATCGGCATTCCCGATTTGCCCAAGCAGGTAGCCGTTGTTGTGCCGCAAGTTTAGGACGAACCTGTGAAAACTGTGAAGCTTCTCATCGTGCTCCTCCGCAAAACTTTTCGCATATGCCCGTTCACCTTCGGAGAGAAAAGCCTTTCCTCTTCATAAAGTTAGTTAGCCAGCACCTGCTTGCTTTAAACCTGGCTCCGCATTAGACCTTTTTCTAAGGCTAATTGCACAGCCCGCACTTGGAGCAGTTCTGTCGTCACGGGCCGCTGTGCCCCTCGCTGCTCAAGCACATACTCGCCGAGCAGCTCTTCAATTTGTGTAAACCGACCCTGCTGTGGTCCACTGAAGCCTTTGCGTGAATCTTTGCTGTCGACAATCTTCTGCTTTTGTTTCCGCCAGTCTCGCACGCATGTTTCGGGAACTCTGAATGTACGCGATGCGGCCCGATTTCCGTCCGTTTCTGCACACGTGATGACTTTTCTTTTAAAAGTGGCATCGTGGTGCAGTCGAGTTTTTGGAGTCGGCCCTTCCATGCCGTCGATGCTAATGCACTACAAGATGACGAACTCCTCAGCACACGTACAAAGTGCCGCACATGGGAAACACATAGGCAGAAATGGGCGATGCGCCATGCCGATGCACGTAGGGGTCGGCCATTTTGGAAATGCCGATGGCAATAGAATAACTGTATTCATTTTTTTTTGTACCCGATTCTAACGCGCATCCGATTTATAAACTCGCATAACCGGAAAAAAGGTGTGCGTTAGATTCGAGTAATTACGGTAAGTGAAATAACTTTATTGGGTCCACCATAGATGCGAGTTAACTTACCCTAACCTGGCTAGGCCCACTCCGGGACGGTCAGGTTAAACCAGACCACCCTCGCGCAGGCCCTCTCGATGGCCAGAACTTGAGAGGTAAGGCCCTGGGCCTTAATCAGCTTGTTCATTTCCTCTTCTTGGAAAGGGGGACCGGCAAAGGCACAGCCCCACAGGACATGCTCGAAGTCCGCATAACCGCCACACAAGGAGCAATCCGGGCTTGAGAATTGTTCGTGGTATATTGTGTGCAGCACTGCAGGGCTCCGGTAGGTTCTTGTTTGGAGCAGTCTGAGAGTAACAGCTTCGGCCTCGCCTAGCTAGGAACGTAATAGGGGCAGCACTCGTCTTGAGAGATAATGGTGTTTGCATATCTCGTACGTGCGGAGAGGCTAGTATCACCCAGGAGATGACGCGTTACCTGGCACACTGTCAGTCAGACCTCATGCAGCCGAATGCACCTCCTCGTTCAGATTGATCGAAGGACCCCCAATTGGTCCAAGGTGTGCAGGAAACCAGACCATTGAGTGATTTTTGAGGTCCTTGGCTTTTTTAAGCATCTGTAGGACCTGGGGAGCCACAATACCCATTTGAAATGCCTTGATAGCAGCCTTTGAGTCTGAATAAATTGTGCCACGTACACCGTCCGTTAATGCAAGAGCAATGGCAACCTGCTCTGCAATGCTGGAGCTAGAAGTGCAGATGGTAGCGCAGCTGAATACTTCACAATCACAGCCAACAACCACTGACGAAAATGCTTCTTTTTGAGCGTACGAAGCGGCATCGACGAAACAGGCTTGTTTCTTGTCCAGGCGAGCACTGGGAGCAGAGCTTTACCCCTTGCTCGTGTTTGTGCTGCATTGTAGGTTAGATGCATATTACATGGCATCGGCTGTATGAAAATCCCGGACCTTATTTTGTTGGGTAGCTTCACAGCATCAGGACCGACGACCGCGGGGTTGCGTCCCAGCATGTCGGGTATGACCCTACCCGCTGGGGTGCCGGACAGTCTGACAAACTGTGAAAGCTCTTGGGCCTCGGCAATTTTTTTGAATGTGTTGTGGATTCCCAGCTTCAGGAAGTCTTTTATGTGTGTTCGGACGGGAATGCCAAGGGCCAAGTTGAAAACTCTTCTGATTAGGGCATTGATGTTGTTGCGCTCCGACACGAGCTAGTTGAGCAGAGCTGCCGTATAAGCAAGGTGACATAGCACAAATGCGTGGATAATCCAAATCAGATTGTCCTCCCTTATTCCTCGGTGCCTGTTAGTGATTTTTCTAATCAGCCCGAGGGCAATCTTGGTCTTGGAACAAATGCGCTTGATGACGGCTCCATTGGCTCCGTTGGACTGTTGATCAACATTCAGAGGACTCTGATGGTGTCCACGTGTGGAACTGGGGAGCCATTACCGGTGAATAACCTGATGTGGCTCTCCGTTGCTGACTTCCAGGACTGATGAGAACTACTTCTGGGCCTCTTATAGTGTAAAAGCTCGGACTTAGTGGACGAGCACCGTAGGTCGGTAGGGATGAGATAGTGCTCAGTCACATCGATGGTCTCTTGCAAAACGCTCTCGACCTGACATTCACATCCGCTGTGGCACCAGATGGTGATGTCGTCAGCATAGATTGTGTGGTTAACGTGCGGTATCTTGTTCAAGGTTTGCGACAGGTTGGTCATGCATATATTGATAAGCGTCGGGGAGACCACCTCCCCCGAGGTGTCCCCTTTAACCAAAGGGTAATTTTGTGTGTAGGAACCTGTCAATCTTGAGTCTTGTGGACCTCGAGAAAACAAAAGAGGGCACAAAATTGTACGCTCGTTTTCTGGCGTGAAACTCAGCCAAGCTCTTCAGAATAAAGGAATGCAATACGTTGTGAAACGCTTTTTCTAAGTCCAAGCCGAGAATCGCCTTAGTGTCGGTGGAGTCTGAGTCAATGACCTGGCGCTTGATCAGCTTCATGGCGTCCAGTCAAGAGCGCGACCAAAAGCCAATCATATTGTGAATGTCTCATTTGTTGGACTCGAGGTATTCAGTGAGGTGGTTGAGCATGACATGCTCAGCCATCTTCCCGATGCACGACGTCAGTGAGATTGGCCTGAGGTTCTCGATGCTTGGCGCCTTACCCTGCTACGGCATCAGTACTGTGCAGGCCGCTCTTCAGCTTTTAGGAATGAGCCCACTGCACCAGATTTCATTGATTTTGTCTGTAAGAAATTTGATTGCGTCATCGTCAAGGTGCTTGAGCATTTCGTTAGTAACCCGTCGGGTCCAGGGGTTGATCTCCCATTCAGGGATGTAAGAACTTGTTTGACCTCTGCCACAGTGAACTCCTCATTCATCGATAGCACGTCGCACCCATCATAGTCTGGAAACTGAGGAGGAACCAGGTCGTCCGTGGCGGTCAAATACTTGTTTATGAGCTGTTCTGTTATCGCCTCATCTGGAGCCCAGTCAGTGGCTAAATGAACGGCTTTCACCAACGCTCTACGCTCATTAGATTTAGTGCTTCCATAGTGCTGTAGGTGCTTGAGGAGTCTCCAGCTTTTATCGATTCTGAGCTGACCCTCAATAAAGTTACAGAGTTCATCCCATTGCTGCTTGCATAGGACCTTGCAATGAGCCTCTACTGCTTTGTTGATGTTGGATATTTTCTTGCATCATCACCATCATCATCATCATCATCATCATCATCATCAGCCTGACTACGTCCACTGCAGGACAAAGGCCTCTCCCATGTTCCGCCAGTTAACCCGGTCCTGTGCTTGCTGCTGCCAATTTATACCCGCAAACTTCTTAATCTCATCTGCCCACCTAACCTTCTGTCTCCCCCCTAACCCGCTTCCCTTCTCTGGGAATCCAGTCAGTTACCCTTAATGACCAGCGGTTATCCTGTCTACGCGCTACATGCCCTGCCCATGTCCATTTCTTCTTCTTGATTTCAGCT